AACTATATACTAGGCATGAGTTTTTTTTAAATTAATTTCATTAAAATTTTATTAGCATGACTTATGACAAATAAAACCCAAATATTTTGTTTACTTATAGAAAATTTCATAGCCTTGAAATTATATGGAACACTGCTGACCTGACAGTTGCCTTGCATACATTGATAACTCTTACTGTACATGGAGTGTAAATATTAAAATATTTTCGCTGAGGGTGATTGACATCCAATTGAGTGAAAGGAACAAGTGTGACATTAAAATATGCAACCGTCTGAGAGAGATTTATCATTGTCGCGTTGGTCTTGAACACAGCATCTTGCATCAGGAAAAAAGCAACTGGACTGAATCAACATTTACTTTTAAATTGTAGAGTCTCAATGAACAGTGGAAAGGCACAGAGAATACGTTTTTTGAGGCCAAATGTGGAGTTCCTATAGTTCATAATATTTTTAAGAGCAAAGTCTTCTGGCATTGAGCCACTGTGATTTATTATTTTCAGAGTTTAGTGCAGCCATGTATCAGAAAATCTTAGATGAGCTCATGCTTCCTATTCAATTCAATTCCATTTCAATTCAGTTTATTTATACAGCGCCAATTCAAATTTCAAGGCACTTTAGAGAGATAATTCAACCAGATCATACAGTCAAATTGATTCAAAGTTTTCTATCTCAGGAAAACAAGTTGATTGCATCGACTCATTGACTTGCTATTGTTGACTATTGCCGAAAAGGACTATTTCCAGCAGGACCTAACATCTAAAAAAATACCAATACCTGCTTTGATCAACATGTTGTGATTACTGTGCTAGACCAACCAGTAAACATTTTTAGCCTAAGCCCAGCAGAAAATATCTGGGTTTATATCTCCAGACCTCCTGCTTTACATTAACGCACAGTCTACTGTGTATATAGTATATAGCTATAAACTATATATTGTAGATACGTAGAGTGGCGGCCTAGTGGTTAGGGAATAGAGCTTTGAAGCCAGATTTTCTGAGTTCGAGGCCCACTCCCACAGATTGCCCAGATAGCCCACTGCTCCCCAACGGGATGGGTTAAATGCAGAGGTAAACTTGTCTAATGTGAGGTCAATAAAGTTCAATTATTATTATATTGTAAATAGCTATAGATTCTGTATTCTGTAAATATCTAATTTGTCTGCACCATCAATACCAAGTCAAATTGCTTGTAAGTGCAAACCTACTTGGCAACAAACTTGATTCTGAATCTAATTCTGTATAGAGAATAAATATTTTAAACTTTATATGATAGACAATACACCCAACTTAACTTAGTTTCGAACCTTTAGTGTTTCTCTCTGACAATCTGAACCGTTGGTTTTTATTAGCTATATGCAATAATCTAAATTGACACTTGGAAGTATGTGATGCTGTATTGGTTTAATGTTCTGAAATTAATTATTTAAATGCATTTCCTTTTTGGTCTACTAATTAACTGTAATAGACCTACATTAGCAAGACTGTGCAGTTAAAATAAACATTTAATTGCTCTATAATGAAAGAGACGTCTGCAATGTGCAACACTGCAGGGAAAAACTAACCATGTATTGTTCCCGTCATTGCCAATCAGCTGTTACTAGGCGGTAACAAGTACATACTTTCAGCCAATCAGAAAATGATCAACAATCTCAGCCCCGCCTTCTTTGCCTTCCCCAACCACAACAGCCAATAGAAACCCGTCTTTCATGTTACTGAAATTCTCACAGACCAATAGGAGGCGTCCTCTGAAGGCCTTCATTCCCACCCTCTACTGAAAGCCTCAGAGTTTCTTGATGGCGATAGAAAGAAACGGTAAGTGGGAAGTTGATTTTTTTCTCGAAGAACCGACCGTTGAAACTAAGTTTTAACCTTATTTCTCTGCCATCTATGTCGTTGCAGCCCGTATACTAGCTTACAGCCGGGTTGTCACAGCTTTCATTCGCGTCAAATAACAGTTTGAGCTCGACTGTTTTTTCCTCTCGTTGTGACGCCTGTTGTTTTGTTGATGATAGGAAACCCACCCGACTGCAGGTTCTGTGAAACTAAGTCATTGATTTAATTGATAAAACTTCCCATAAGCCGAGTGAAGGTATAATTAGGATATTTAATGTGATATTTAGTGTCATTCATTTTAAAGGCTGCAGCGGTTGCGTCATGTCTCAACTTGTTGACATTCTTTTGTTTACAGTGACGGAGCCGACAGGCTGTAGGTCTCTGCAAATGTTCCGACCTTCTGTCTCTGTGTGAAGCGGACACAGCGTTCGTCTCGCTACTATACCGATTTTCTCTATTTTAACTTGTTTGAAGCGTTTTATTACCGACGTGCTATCAATGGATCCACGGTCAGTACCGTAAATCTTTGCTTTCTGATCTACGCGCAGCGAAAAAACATCTCTTCCTCTGCCTCTTTAAAAACTGATTCATTTAGGCTTTAACGGCTTCCTTTTTATTACATCTGTTTTACTTTAATTCCATGCTAATGATGTAATCCGATTTCCATACATGTTAATTAAACATCTCTCTGCCATTTATAGAATCACATTCGCTTTGCTTTCGAGTTCCAAAGTTAAGTTAGATGGCCTATAAGACCATTTTCTGTTATTTAACTCTTTAGCTGCGTAGTCGTGAATGAATGAGCTCTGGTGCGCATGCGTCAACCCCCTCTGAGTTTATAAACAAGGCCTCCACGCAACGAGTCACGTGACCATTCATAGAGACAAAGGATTGCCCACATTTTCCTTGATATCCATGTTTAGAATGACTTTCCTGACTTAAGATGGTCTAAATATATATATTTTTTTTTTTACCAAGGCTGACATTCATTCAAACATCCTTTGCATTCAGTTTGTACTGTGGAAAGTATACGCTCAAAAAATTTCAAAGAAGATCCCACAGGGCTGTAATTTTATGTCTTTAATAAAGAGCTACTTTAAGCATCAATAATAATAATCTAATTTTATTGATCTCATCCATCCATCCATCCATCCGGGGTCGGGTCACGGGGGTAGCAGCTTCAGTCGGAGGCCCAGATCTCCCTCTCCCCAGCCAGTTGGGCAAGCTCCTCCAGGGGGATCACAAGGCGTTCCCAGGCAAGCCAAGAAACTTAGTCCCTCCAGCGTGTCCTGGGTCTCCCCCTGGGCCTCCTCCTGGTGGGATGTGCCTGGAACACCTCATCAGGGAGACCTCCAGGACGCATCCTAACCAGATGCCCGAGCCACCTCAACCGGCTCCTCTCGATGTGGAGGAGCAGCGGCTCTACTCTTGAGTCCTCCCTGGATGACTGAGCTTCTCACCCTATCTCTAACGGAGAGTCCAGACGCACTACGGATAAAACTAATTTCAGCCGCTTGTATCCGGGATCTCGTTCTTTCGGCCATGACCCAAAGTTCATGACCATAGATGAGGGTAGGAATGTAGATGGACCGGTAAATCAAGAGCTTTGCTTTTTGGCT